ATGCCAAAGAGCTCGATTTTGGTCTCATCTGACCACAACACTTTCACCCAGTCTTCCTCTGATGTTCAGTGGCAAACTTCAAACGGGCCTGTAGATGTGCTTTCTTGAGCAGGGGGACCTTGCGGGCACAGCAGGATTTCAGTCCTTCACGGCGTAGTGTGTTACCAACTGTTTTTTTGGTGACTATGGTCCCAGCTGCCTTGAGATCATTGACAAGTTCCTCCCGAGTAGTTCTGGGCTGATTCCTCACCGTTCTCATTATCATTGAAACTCCACGAGGTGAGATCTTGCATGGAGCTCCAGACCGAGGGAGATTGGCAGTTAATTTATGTTTCTTCCATTTGCGAATAATTGCACCAACTGTTGTCACCTTCTCACCCAGCTGCTTGGCGATGGTCTTGTAGCCCATTCCAGCCTTGTGTAGGTCCACAATCTTGTCCCTGACATCTTTAGAAAGCTGTTTGGTCTTGGCCATGGTGAAGAGTTTGGAATCTGGATTGATTGATTGCTTCTGTGGACAGGTCTCTTTTATACAGGTAATGAGCTGAGAGGGCTTCCAATTTCAGCTCGTTACCTGTATAAAATACACATGGGAGTCAGAGATCTTGCTGACTGACAGGGGATCAAATACTTATTTCATTCATGAAAATGCAAATTAATGTACAACTTTTTTTGTAATGCATTTTTCTGGATTTTTTTGTTATTGTTGTGTCTCTCACTGTTCAAATAAACCTACCATTGAAATTGTAGACTGATCATTTCTTTGTTAGTGGGCAAACTTACAAATAATTCAATACATTTTTCCCTGACTGTATTTTTCATTGTTTATTACATGACTGCTCGAATTTTGAAAAAGCAGTTTGAGTGTTTGCACTACTCTGTTTTTTGAGCCCAAGCTTACTGCATTCTTTCACTCTCTTACTTGTCGTGGTTGGTCAAGGTGTCATATTTGTCTGTCTACACCCTTCTCCGGCCAAAAGTAGAGTAATCAGTAAACAAATGTAACAATATCAGACTTTTCTATCTGATTTGTTTGAGTAACTGCACTGATTCATTTTTACCCACAGTCATCTGGGATTACCAACAGTCACTTCCATGATGCAAACCTTATGACAACAGTCCTTAATCTCTTTATTGCTGGCACTGAAACAACAGCAACCACACTGAGATGGGGACTTCTGCTAATGGCCAAGTATCCAAAAATACAAGGTAACAAGCTCAGAACTGTGAGATTTGGTGTGTGATGCTGCCAAATAGCGTTTGTGGTGAACTCAATTATAAGACCAGGTGGACTGAGGTAAAGGAAGATTCCTTTACTTGTTGCAAACAAACAAACAAGCAGTACAAAGTTCAGGACACAATCGGGTCATTAAGACAGTCCAAGGTCAGCGCCGGTAAACACGGATAACCATGAGATCCAAACTCGAGAAGTCAGATAAGAGATATCAGAAGGTCGGTACACTTGTAGGCAATTAGAATCTGGGAGGGAATAGGCAAAACACGGTGGTCAAAAACAGCAATCCAGGGTCAGAAACTAGAGAGTCAGACTAAGAATTAATGCTGGAGAGTCAGAGCTGGAGTCTAGAACAATCTGGCAACATTCTAGTGACTAAACGCTGCCTTTATGCTGTTGGACACAGGTGTGAGTAATCAGAAGCAGGTGAAATCTATGATCACTGATTAAACTAAAGAGTCCGTAAATGAGATGCGACCAAAAGGAAGCAGTGACAAAATAAAAGCACATGACAGAAAGCAGACGGGGCAGAATCGTGGCACAGAACATCAGCAGCTTTCATAGAGCGACAGTCCATCAGTCCAAGAAACAATACTGTATGTGCTTCACCAACAAAAAAATCATCTTCATAAACAAAACAATGCTTCATGTCCCAGACCAGGTCCGGGAGGAGCTCAACAGGGTGATAGGGAGTCGTCAGGTGCAAGTCGTGTTCAGGAAGAACCTGCCCTTCACTGACGCTGTCATCCATGAGACACAGAGACTGGCTAACATCGCCCCCATGGCGCTTCCTCACAAAATGAGCCAAGACGTCACTTTCCAGGGTCACTTCATTAAAAAGGTTGGACTGAAGCAAACTAATAATATGCATGATCCACCTTGACTGAAAACAACTAATTAAAGAGACGAGAATAGAGAAATCAATCAATAGATTTACATATTAATAAACAGGTATTCATTAAGGAGTGAACAGGTGTTGGTTTGATGGTTATGATATTCACCTTGGGGTGTCAGAACACACAGGATCAAATTCTATTTTCTTGTCACACTCTATTTTCTTGTCACAGCAGCAGAGTATTGCAACAAAACAGGTGAAGAGTTCAAAAACTCCTGTTGCTTAGCATGTAAATGCTTTTCAATCTCTGTGTTGTCTGCAGGGGACCACAGTGTATCCT